GAGATCAGCCGCCGAGCAACGATCAAGAATACTGCGAGCACCACAAAATCTTCGGCCACCACACCTCACGATGCCGAAGCCTCGGCGCTAAATTAGCAACGAAATTCTTAGCAGGAGAGCTCGGGACGAACGTCACGCTCAAGGACCTGGAGCCAGAGCCGGATCAGCCCGAGCAGGCCAACACCACAGGGGACCCCGAGCCAAGAAACACGAACGCCCCGAAGAGAACTCGGGAAAATCAAGACGAAGACCGAGATAATACACGGCAAAAAATCTTTACCATAATGGGTGGATCGCCGTACTGTCCTGATACAGTAGCCGCAATCAAGGCATATCAGCGCCGAGCCGAGGCGCCTAGCAACTGGACGAGACCCTTCGACCGACCTAACGACATAGTTACATTCGAGGAAAGTGAGACGAACGGGCTCGACATGCCTCATAACGATCCCCTCGTCATCACGTTAACAATAGGAGATCATGACGTTTGCCGAATATTGATTGACACCGGTAGCACCATCGACGTGATTTTCCGTGAAACGCTCCGACAAATGAACATTGATATGTCACAGGTAATACCGACCCCGAGGCCTGTCCTCGGATTTTCGGGGGAAACTTTGATGACGCTCGGAACCATTCAATTACCAGTCCGAGCCGGCGGGGTGACAAAGGTAGTCAACTTCTCAGTCACCGATCAACCTACCATCTACAACGTTATAATGGGCACGCCGTGGCTAAATCTGATGCGAGCTGTCGCGTCGACCTATCACCTCTGTGTCAAGTTCCCGACCCCCAGTGGCGTAAAAACAATCTGGGGCAGCCAGAAAAACTCACGGATGTGTTACATGGCAGCGCATAAACTCCGAAACCCTGTCACCGAAGCGAAGGCTGAAACCGATCACAAGAAATCAAAACTTGGCCGAAGTGAAGAGAAGGCTATATCTAAACAGTTATAGCAATTACAGATCGAGGAGGCGCGCGAGGAGAAGAAGCCTACCTCGGATCCTGTAATCTCCATTTGCCTCGACGACGAACGGCCTGAACGATGCGTGGAAATTGGCAGCGACTTAACCGAGGAAATCAAGACCGAGCTCATCTCATTCCTCAAAGAGAACATCAACACCTTCGCCTGGTCGGCTGAAGACCTACCTGGGGTAAGCATCGACGTAATCTGCCACGAGCTGAATGTTGACCCGTCTTTCAAGCCCATCAAGCAGAAGCGAAGAAAATTGGGTCGAGATCGCGCAGATGCCGTGAACGCCGAAGTAGAAAAACTCCTAAAGATCGGCTCAATCTCCGAAGCAAGATACCCGGACTGGTTGGCGAATCCTGTCGTGGTTAAAAAGAAGAACGGCAAATGGAGAGTTTGCGTCGACTTCACCGACCTGAACAAAGCTTGCCCTAAAGATAGTTTTCCGCTCCCACACATCGATCGCTTAGTGGAAGCAACCGCGGGGAACAAGTTACTATCGTTCATGGATGCTTTCGCGGGATACAACCAGATTTTCATGCACCCCGATGATCGCGAGAAAACAGCGTTTATCACAGACCGAGGTATCTACTGTTACAAGGTCATGCCCTTCGGACTCAAGAATGCTGGCGCAACGTATCAACGGCTCGTCAACAGAATGTTCTCCGAGCAGCTCGGGAAGACGATGGAAGTTTATATCGACGACATGTTAGTCAAATCACTTGAAGAAAACAATCACATAGCCCATCTACGCGACTGTTTTCGCCAGCTCAACAAGCACAACATGAAGCTCAACCCGGCAAAATGTCGTTTCGCGGTAAAATCAGGCGAATTTCTGGGATATCTCGTAACTCACCGAGGCATCGAAGCAAATCCGAAGCAAATTGATGCTTTACTGAACATGCCCTCGCCGCAAAACAAACGCGAAGTTCAACGTCTCACCGGGAGAGTCGCAGCCCTGAACCGATTCATCTCGCGATCAACAGACAAATGCCTGGCTTTCTACGATACTCTGCGCGGGAACAAGAAATTCGAATGGACCGATCGCTGCGAAGAAGCTTTCCAGGAACTGAAGAAGTATTTGGCTAATCCACCGGTGTTGGCAAAACCAGTCCCGGGCGAGCCGTTATTTCTGTACATCGCCGTCTCAGATACAGCAATAAGCGGAGTCATCGTTAGAGAAGACAGAGGAGAACAGAAGCCGATATTTTATGTCTCGCAAACTTTCACCGACGCGGAAACACGCTACCCGCAAACTGAAAAGCTCGCCCTCGCCGTAGTAATGTCAGCTCGGAAGCTACGGCCGTATTTCCAATCTCACTCAATTGTCGTCATGGCGCCCGTATCACTTCGAACCATCCTGCATAGTCCGAGCCAATCGGGACGCCTGGCCAAGTGGGCAGTAGAACTCAGCGAGTATGACATCGAATACAGGAACAAAACATGCGCGAAATGTCAAGTCCTGGCCGATTTTATCATCGAGCTACCAACAGAGAACGCCCGAGAAGAGTCACCCGATGCCGTCTGGATCCTCCACGTTGACGGGTCGTCCTCGAAACAAGGTTCTGGCGTCGGGATCCGCCTGGCGTCACCAGAAGGTGAAATCCTTGAGCAATCTTTCCGGCTAAACTTTGACGCAACTAACAACGTGGCGGAATACGAAGCGCTGATAGCCGGACTAAAGCTGGCTCGGGGACTTAAGATCAACAAGCTACGAGCCTTCTGCGACTCCCAGCTTGTGGCCAACCAATTTAACGGAGAGTACGTGGCTCGGGATGAACGAATGGAAGCATATCTGGCTCTCACACAAGACCTGGCGAAACAGTTCGGAGAGTTCGAGTTAACCAGAATCCCGCGAGGCGAGAACACATCGGCGGATGCCTTAGCAGCTCTAGCTTCGACCTCCGATCCAAACCTGAAGAGGATCATACCGGCAGAGTTCATCGAAAAGCCGAGCATCGAAGACAGTAGCGAAGATCAAGTACTAACAGCTCGGGAGACGGAAGAACCGGAGGAGATGGACACCGAACTGCCAGACCAACAGACTACAGACACAATCGAGCCCGAGTATGGGAGCGATACCAAATGGATCGGAGCCATCCGGAGTTACATAGCCGATGGAGAAGTCCCTACTGAAAAATGGGCAGCTCGGAAGCTTAAGGCGAAAGCGGCTCGGTATACCCTGATCGACGGAGAACTCTTTAAATGGCGGTTTTCCGGACCCTTGCTAATCTGTGTCGAAGGGAACGAAGCTCGGAGAGTCATGGAAGAAATACACGGCGGATCTTGTGGGAATCACTCTGGCGGGAGAGCCCTAGCCATAAAGATCAAGCGCCACGGATATTTTTGGCCGACGATGGTCAAAGATTGCGAGAAGTTCTCTCAAAGATGCGACAAATGCCAAAGACACGCACCAACTATCCATCAACCCGCCGAGCTCCTTTCTTCCATCACCTCGCCTTATCCCTTCATGCGCTGGTCCATGGACATTATCGGACCTCTACACAACTCCAAACAGAAGAAACTCGTCCTCGTACTAACAGACTACTTCTCCAAGTGGATCGAGGCGGACTCCTATGCCACCATCAAAGACGCGCAGGTCGAGAACTTCGTCTGGAAAAACATCATATGCCGCCACGGGATACCTTACGAGATCGTCACAGACAATGGCTCGCAATTCATCTCGGCTCGGTTCAAAGGATTCTGCGAGAAATGGGGTATTCGCCTCAGCAAATCTACGCCTCGGTATCCTCAGGGAAACGGACAGGCAGAAGCAGCAAACAAGACGATTCTCGACGGAATAAAGAAGCGCCTCGACGCAAAGAAAGGCCGCTGGGCCGACGAATTGGAAGGAGTTTTATGGTCGCACAGAACAACGCCGCGGCGAGCCACGGGAGAAACACCTTTTGCCCTCGTTTACGGTACGGAATGCGTGATTCCCACCGAAGCCGAGATCCCAGGAATAAGAAGGCGTTTGCTCCCCGAGCAGGAACACTCCAACACTCAGATGATGCTGGACGAGCTGGACTTAATCGACGAGAGAAGAGATTCAGCCTTGGTCCGCATGCAGAACTATCAGAATGCTACAGCTCGGTATTACAATTCACGCGTTAAGCAGCGCCGCTTCCACGAAGGAGATCTCGTACTACGAAAAGTGTTTCAGAACACTGCCGAGCTAAACGCTGGAAAGCTCGGAGCAAATTGGGAAGGACCTTACACGATCGCGAAGGTCGTACGTCCCGGCGTCTACGAACTCGTCAACACGAACGGCAAAGCGATACCCAGATCCTGGAACGCAATGCATCTCAGGAAGTATTATCGCTAAGAACCTAAGGTACGCATGTACTTGAACTACGGGGTGGCTTGATCCCTGAAAAGGGTACGTAGGCAGCTCGTCTTCGGACGAGTTCAGCTACCCCCCCTAATTAAAAAAAGGGGGGGAGTGGGTCCGTATACATAAATACTCCCACTTAAAACTTTTTATGGAAGTTTCTTTTAAAGTTCTACCTTTTGGATTTTCAATTTTATCCACCTCGACATCAATCCCGAAACTCGCCTCGGAAACATTTGCGGTCATCTTATCGACCTCCAAAGCCAATAGTTCGTTCGGACGATGGCCACGCCCACGAACAGAGAGCTCACTACACCGCTTCGGTTAACAGCGCGCTATATAAACATTCAAGACAATCAGGTCGGAGATATCCTGCCAACGGAAATTGTCTTCAGAAAACCCAGTTGACTTCAACACTGGTACCCCAGTTCGCTTCTAAGCACTGGCGTCGACTATATCAGCTCGGGTCGCAACCGGTGAAGATTATAGTCTTATATGATCAAAACCCAGTTACCTTAACACTGGCGAACGACTCGTTTCGCTTTCGGCTCGGAAGTTGGAACGGCTCGGAGGAATCGACGTCTTGACGACACGCCTGCAAACCCGGTATACTTAACACCGGTACGCAAAAGATTGATTCCTCGACGAACAAGTCAGATCAACGAAAACCCAATTATTCAACATTGGTATCAAGATAGACGAAAACAAAAATATTCATTATTAAATGGATAAAGCCATCCAGGCATGTGTTTTACCAAAACAAAAACTTAAAACAAAAAAGAAAAGAGGTGGCGCCTCGCGATCAATCTTCCTTCTCTAGAATCTGCGCGACCTCGGAGGTGAAACTTGGCCCGACCGGATCGACAACTTCAGTCTCGACCACTTCTTCTACCGGCATATCTCCGAGGGCATTCTGAACAGAGTCGGGAGACACCGGAGCAACCTTCAAATCTCCAAGAAGCTCCGCCCCAAGTTTGGCGTACTCAGCTTCGGCATCCCCGTACTCTTCTTTCCACTTTAGCACCTCCTCCTTCTCCTCCTCAATCTTCCCACCGGATTCGAGCATTTCGATCAGCTCGGCATTAGCCTTGGCTTGCGAGAAATAGATGTATCGCTCGGAGACCTTGTCGAACAGCCCCAGCTTCGCCTCGGTCGCCTTGACCTTTTCGGCAAACTCTTCAGTGAGCTCCCTCTTGGCAGCCTTCGTGGCTCGGGCCACCTCAACCTCACGAAGGGATTTCTCCTCGGTTAACAGGCGATTAAGGCTCTCAATCGCCGCCTCGGCCTCCCGCTGAGCACGAAGATGCTCCTCGGCCATTTTTCGCCTCGCGTCTTGCTCGGCTACAATCAACGCCTCGGCGCTCTGTATCGCCATAGCCGCCTCGGCTGCCTTCGCCTCGGCCTCAACCCGGGCTAGCTCCGCCTGCTCCTTAGCCGCCTCATACGCGCGAGCCGCAGAATCGTAGGAATGAACCATCATGTTCATCGAGGAGAAGGCCTGAAAAACAAAACAGCGAAGATATTAAGACACGAAACAAGTCTTATACAAAAAGGAACCTGAACACGTACCTTTAGGAAATTGGCCGCGGTCTCACCGTACCGCTCCGCCTCGACCAAACCCTCTGGGGCGGGAAGTAGCGGCCAGGCGCAAGAAGCGATGAGGTTGGCAGAAGCAACCTTGTCCTTATAAATGGGCCGAGAAGAGCTGGGAGTTTTCTTCGACCTCTTGCGCACGTCCTCGGAATGTTCTCCCCGAGGACGTTTTCCCTTAGATTTGGTCTGCCCTCCGGCACGCAGACCAACCACCAACGTGCTCCCAGTCTCGGGAGCTCGGCCAGCAACATCCCCAGTCGGGATACCCTCGGGAACCTCGGGGTGAGCCACAGTAACGGCTAGGTCGGCCCCCGATCCTGCTGGATCAACTACCACCTCGGGGTCAATGGTTACCTCATTGCCCCCAGTCGCCTCGGACAGGGTTAAAGGCCCAAAAGCTGCCTTGATCGCCCTCTCCTCCTCGCGCGCCTTCTTCTCGGCGGCCTTCTTCTCTCTCAAGGACATCTTCACTCCTTGCATTTCTGTCAGAAAACTTAACCTCTGATCCGAAGAGGATGAAGAAGTAGAACAAGACGCACCGTGAAGAACCCTTAACGCCTTTTCAATCCTTGCTTGAGAGAAATGCTTGATCCAGTGACACTTTCTAGCAGCTAACTCCTCACGTACGCTGAAAAGGTCCTCGGGAATACGATCCAAAAAGCTCGGGCCTCGGTCTGCAAAAAAAAAGGGGATCGAGGCGAATTAGTCAAAACAGTCAAGTTATAACACAAAACGAGCAGAAATCTCGGAAAAACTACCAATCTTCCTCCATTTCCCGATCATTTTCTCAAGGCAGCCCTCGGGAACACAATCTTCGTCAAGGGCAACGAAGAAAAAATGATCGGTGTACTTCTCATCTTTGCTCGGAAAGCCACCAATAACCCTTCGCCTCGGACTAGGAGAGATGTAATATCTCTCCATGGCACAACCCGGAACGCGTCGAATCTCCAGCAGATTCCTCAGGTGATCGAGACCGACATTGTTGTACGTCTCGATCCCCCGCACCAGAATCCCGATCAAATGGCGAAGGCCTCGGGTTGTAATCTGAGCCAAAGCGAGCTTATACGACCACAAATACTCAATGATTGGCCTCGGTATTGGAAACCAAAGAAAGCAGAAGTAGAAGAATCCTTCGTACAAGGTGAAGAACCCCTCGGGAGGATCATCAGCTCTCTCATTGGGGGTCGGCAACCGCAGAGTCACCCCTTCGCTGAAATTAAAACGTGCTTTTAATTCCCGAAGAGAGTCAGAAGTCGACAGAGTGGAACCGGGAGGATCAGGCTTCTTCACTTTCTTGGCTCGGGTTTTCTTCCTCAGAGCCTTGGCACCTTGAATCGCCAGCTGAAGTAGCCTGGCTCCCTCCTCGGGATCATAAGTAACCATCTCGCCCTTCACCTCGGGCAAAACCGGCAGCTCGGGCACATCCTGCCAGCGAGAAACACCAGCTTCATCCGAAGCCGGAGGACGCGTCCTCCTATTCAAAATCGCCTCGGGATCATCCGGAAGATCCTCATCCCGAACTACATCAGCAATTGTATCCTCCCGAGCCACAAATCGATTCGGATTTCCCCGTTGCTCAGATGACGACTCCGCACCACTGCTCGGATCGGCTCGGCCTGATAAACTGGCCTCGGATCCGTCTGAACTGCTCCAAACCATCTTCCGCTTATGAACTGGGATATTTCTGCCTCGGGAAGAATCACTCGAATCAGAAAGGGACATCAATCTGCTCGGGTAAATCGAAAGGACAACCGGAGAAACAGAATTCAGGACGCCGGCAAAATCAACCTAGATCTAAACACGGCGGCGCTACGAAAAAGTAAATCGGAAAACGAATAAATCAAGATCAGAGAGAAAAGAGACAAACCTTAGAAATTTTTCCTTGCAGATCGCGAAATGAGAAAACAAGGTAGGAATCGAGTATTTATAGAGCGCCTCGGCGCGTCGGGCACGCACGAGTTTAGGAGTATTTCACATCCGCCCAAGTCTCAAGCGCGTCGGGTGCGCGTGACCAATATTAAAATGCTTCGCATCCGCACGAATCTCGGGAATCAGCAGGGGACTCTTCCGCTTCTCGAGGTAGAAACTCAACCGTCATGCGTCTGGAAGAAGACGAAACGTCAAGGGAATTCGAATCGACAAAAAAATATAAATCGCTAAAGAATATGAATCGTCTTCGAAACACGGATAGCCTCGGCATATAGGGATAGGCTCGGAACAAAGTTTAGATTGCTCGGGCTAACAACCGTGAAGCTCGTCACTTGCTCCTCAAGACAACGAGCTGGGGGGCTAACTGTTGGGGTCGGATTTTACCCGCACTAAGTCCGAGCTAAGACATGTCGCCTCGGGACGTACCTCTCGAGCAGCCCGTACTATGACCGAGCCAAACCACAACCTTTCCGATACATCGACGACCAGCTCGGGCCATCTCCCAAATCGGCTCGTGACACGCCGTCGATTTGGCTCGGGAACATCTCCCAAATCGGCTCAGGGACATCGGTTGGATTGGCTCGGGTGCAACGGCTCGGAGCGGCAGTAACGTTTCGCTTCGACCCGAGCCGAATGCACATGCTGTCCCGAGGCAGTATCAAGCGCACCCGAGGCGAAGCCTCATTATGCCCCGAAGTGAAAGTGTCAATGTTACCCGAGGCAGAATGTGGTGCCCGAGGCAGAATGTAGAGAACCTTTCCGAGGCAAGGACTTAGAAAATATTCACCTTCAGAGGTATCATTTCCAATCAAGGCATCATTTCCGATATACCCGGAAATGATAAGACGGAATCTTGAAGGATCAACTCGAATCAGGAAATCTTCCAAAAGACCCCGAAGAATAAGGAAATTTTCCCAATCCGCGATATTCTAGCCGACTTCAAGATAAACGGAAATCTTCCAAGAATATCGCTAGAGAGGCGGCTTATCATCCCTATATAAAGAGACTCAAGGCTCTCACTTTAGGGCAGGCAATATCGCTCTAGAATTTACACTACACAAAGCTCTTACAGCACAAACACCTTCTTCTTTTACGATCAAACTCTTGTACGATCAAAACTATTCTTTTCATCAATAAGATAAAGAACACCATCTTTGGTTACGATTGTTTTCTGTTGTTCTTTGAGGATTCTCGCATATCGTATCCCTAAATTAAAACCCTAGACAAATCTCGATTGTGTTAGTTTCGACTTCCACAAACATTAATTATATTTCCCCTTTTGCTTTAAATTTGCCGATTTACTTAAATTTTATTTAATGCGTTTAATCTAGGGAATATAATTTAGCAATTAACTCGATTATATTTTCCATAAAAGTAGTAATTTCAGATTTGGGAAATCGTCAATTAACCCTCTTAAATGTGGTCGAGTACTTTTCGAGTATAAAGTGGGTGTAGTTTATCATTGAGTTTTATCAACAACAATTCCACAAAAATGTTCGAGGAAGGTAATTCTTCGGAGAATCCTTCCGACTCATTCAAAGTGATAAGTGATGATCTTCCGGGGGAGTGAGATATCAAGCTTATAAAAGCAGGAGAATCTAGCGAACCAGAAGATTCACGAATATTGAGGAAGGGAACCAGCATTCAGGTTCCGATCGTATTAATCGAGAGATTGTCAGCTCAAGATCGTGTCAAGGCCGAGGAATTTATTAACAAGGTATTGTTTTCCCCAGTGATTTTGACTACTTTTTTCATTGCTAAACGAAGCGTTTTATTTTCTTCAGCTCATCACTCGGCATGACGAGCTCGAAGATGAGAGAAAAGAGATTAGGAAGAAGAGAAGGGAACTAGGGAAGCGTTGCCTCGATATTGCTCGCGAGCTTCATCGCCTCGAAGCCCATCCTTCCGATTGGATCGAACTAGGACTTCAGGAGTACGGAAACATGCCAGGTTGCATTATGAGCATCGTTGACCTTGCAGGCCAAGGAGCAGAACTATTCCGTAATTCAAGACCCTTCTGGATCTGATTTTTGTTTAGCTAGAAATATTTATTTATACATTGTTTGCAATGTATTTTATATTCTCGCCCGAGGATAAAAATAAGATTCCATGATTGAAATAATATTTTTATTTTTATAGCTGGACTCGTGTTTAGCGAGCTGCCTACGTACCCAAAATAGGATCAAGCCAAATCGTAGTTCGAAATATTTTTATTTTAGCAATAAAACTTTTTCAAGTTGATGATGTTCCAAGATCTTTGGACGGGATTACCGTCGAGGTCTTGTAAACGGTATACACCATTTCGGATTTTTTCTGTGATTTGATAAGGGCCTTCCCAGTTAATACCGAGTTTTCCAGCTCCTTCTTCTTTTGTGTTATCGAACACTCGCCTTAAAACAAAGTCTCCTACATTTAAAGGTCTGTTTTTCAACTTTGAGTTATAGTATCGAGCGGTCAACTGTTGATAATTCTGAAGTCGAATAAGGGATTGGTCTCGCCTTTCATCGATTGTATCGAGAACATCTTCTAATAATTTAGAATTTGATTCCTCGTTAAGTGGAGCTTCGCTCCGGCGCAAACCAGGAACATTCAGCTCGGCTGGGACTACGGCTTCCATTCCATAAACTAACGAGAATGGAGTCTCTCCCGTTGCTCGTCTCGGGGTTGTTCGATAAGCCCACAACACAGGTTGTAGTTCGTCATACCATCCACCTTTTCGAGCACTCAAGCGTTTTTTAAGATTGCTGAGAATGGTTTTATTGGAAGCTTCCGCTTGTCCATTTCCTTGAGGATACCTCGGCGTTGAGTAGCTAAGTTTTATTCCCCAAGCGGAACAAAAATCTTCAAAGTCATTTGAAATGAATTGAGAACCATTGTCCGTTACGATTTCGTAGGGAACTCCATAACGACAAATAATGTGTTTCCACAAGAATGTCTTTACTACAGAATCTTGTATGCTTATATAAGCTTCAGCTTCAATCCATTTGGAAAAATAGTCCGTTAGAACTAACAAGTATTGGACGCCTCGTGTTGAACGATGCATCAGACCAACTATATCCATTGACCATCTCATGAAAGGGTATGGAGTGGATATAGATGACAAAAATTCGGATGGTTGGTGAATAAGAGAAGCGTGCATTTGGCACTTCTTACACTGTTTGGCGTAATCGATGCAGTCAAAAATCATAGTTGGCCAGAAATATCCTAACCGTTTGATTTTGAAAGCCATTGCTCGTCCCGAAGAATGACTACCACAAAGTCCTTCGTGGACCTCGCTTGTCACTATTTTAACTTCGGGTCCGAAAATACATAAAAGATAAGGGTCGCTGACACCTCGTTTGTATAACGAATCTTTAATTATGCAATACTTAGCGCTGATGATTCTTAATTTGCAAGCTTGCCATTTGTTCGATGATAGTTCTCCATTAAGAATGAAATTTTTGATGGGTACCCTCCAGTCAGCCCCCCAATCATTAGCGGAAGTATTATCCTTGAGTATAAACTTCCTTGGTTCGGGTTCGGAAGGAATATCAGGATCTTCGACTGTTTCCCGAACTTCTTCATCACCTGGAGGTGCTTGTTCAGTTCGAGACGGTTCTTTGATGGGAACCTCTTGATCCTTTAATTTTCTTCTTGGCTTTCTTTTAGGAAGTTCCAGTGGTGGAGTAAGTTCGTCATCTTGAGATTTTACTCGTGATCTGGTGACGACAAGTGAACTATTTTCATTTCCGGAACTTAATTTTGGAGTTTCGATATGTTCGGCCTCCAAAATGTTATCGTTTTCTGTTTCTTCAACTGAAATACTTCGTGAAGAAATACATTCAACTGGGATAACTCGTTTGAGCTCGGGATCTGAGGTAGAAGCTAGGGCAGCTAAAGCGTATGCCGAAGTGTTTTCTCCTCTAGGTATTCGAACTAATTCGAATTCTTTGAATTTGTCGGCTAATTTTTTGACAGCCGAAAGATAGGCTTCCATTCGAGGAGCCTTAGCTTCGTAATCTCCAGCGAACTGATTTACAACTAGCTGAGAATCACAATAAGCTATTATTTTTTCTGCTCCAATTGCAAGAGCAAGCCGAAGTCCTGCTAAGAGAGCTTCGTATTCCGCTTCATTATTCGAAGCCGGGAACATTAATCAAAATGATTGTTCGATTATTTCTTCTGTCGGAGTTTCGAGCCTTATACCGATTCCGGATCCTTGTTTAGATGAAGAGCCATCTACATGTAATTTTCATGTGGAGTCCGTTTCAACAAAGATTCCGTCATCTAATAGTAGCTCGGTTAGAAAATCAGCCAGAACTTGTGCCTTTCCGCTAGTTCGACGTTTGTATTCTATATCGTACTCACTGAGTTCGATTGCCCATTTCGCCAATCTACCGGACTGACTTGGACCATGAAGAATTGAGCGAAGTGGATGAGAAGTTAAAACTTCTATCGGATGAGATTGGAAATAAGGTCTGAGTTTTCTAGCAGATATGACTACTGCTAAAGCTAATTTTTCAATCATGGTATATCTCGTTTCTGGACTGGTAAGAGATTTATTTATGTAGAAAATTGGCTTTTGTTCACCTCGGTCCTCTCGAACTAAAACCCCACTTACAGAATGGTTAGAAACTGAAATGTAAAGATAAAGTTTCTCATCTGATTCAGGTTTTGAGAGAATCGGCGGTGTTGTAAGATAAGTTTTGAGTTGACCAAATGCTGCTTCGCATTGATCATCTCACCGAAATTTTTTGTTCCCTTTCAAAATTTGATAAAAAAGGGAGACATTTATCGGTAGATTTCGAGATGAAACGATTTAATGCAGCAATTCTGCCCGTCAATCGTTGGACCTCTTTAATGTTTCTTGGCGAAGGCATTGTGAGGAAAGCGTTAATCTGATTAGGATTTGCTTCTATTCCTCTTCCCGTGACTATGTACCCTAGGAATTCTCCGGAAGGCACGCCAAAGGAACATTTAGCTGGATTTAATTTCATTCCGAACTCGTTCAGAATTTTGAAACATTGTTCAAGATGAGTGATGTGCTCGGATTTCTTAAGAGATTTTACGAGCATGTCATCTATATAAACTTCCATCGTTTTGCCCAAATGCTTTGCAAACATTTTGTTAACTAAACGTTGGTATGTTGCCCCGGCATTTTTTAAACCGAATGGCATAACTTTATAACAGTAGATTCCTCTATCTGTTATGAAGGATGTTTTCTCTTCATCTTCGGGATTCATCATGATCTGATTATATCCAGAAAATGCATCCATAAATGTTAAGAGTTCGTTTCCGGCCGTTGATTCTACGAGCCGATCGATATGAGGGAGAGGAAAACTGTCCTTTGGACATGCTTTGTTAATGTCGGTGAAATCGACACATACTCTCCACTTTCCATTTTTCTTTTTGACTACCACGGGGTTTGCTAACCAGTCCGGGTATTTTACTTCTCTAATGGAACCAATTTTCAAAAGCTTATCAACTTCGTCATTGACCGCTTGAGCTCGGTCAGGACCCAGTTTTCTTCTTTTCTGCTTTATTGGTTTTAAACCTGGGATTGACGTTTAAATCATGGGTAATGATACTTTTGTCGATTCCGGGCATATCTTTTGCCGACCAGGCGAAAGTATGTTTATTTTCCTTTAGGAATGTTACCAATTGATCTTTGATTTCTGAATCTAAAGTAGTACCGATTTTTACTTTTCGATCTGGAAATTCGGAATCAATTTCAATTTCTGTGGTAACTTTATTCGAACTGAGACCACTTGGGTAACGCGAAGTGCTCTCTTGCTTCGCGTTTATCATTAATTGCTATTTGAGCTTTAAACGATGTCCCATGAGGTAGCAAGAACGCGATGTTTCCTGATCTCCTCGAATGGTTCCGATTCCTGCAGGAGTCGGAAATTTCACGCATTGGTGATAAGTTGAAGGTATAGCCTTCATTTGGTAAATCCACGGAGTTCCGAGAATTATGTTGTAAGCGGCCGGTCGGTCGAAAACAATGAATTCTACGATCTTTGGAACCCCTGCAGCAAGTAC